TAGGGTGGGAAGTATCCCAAAATGCAAAACCAGATTTCGGCGAAAAATCCAATTTGGGTTCTGAACAACATCGCGACGAAGGTGGTTCCACCGCCGGAGGTTTTGGTTCCGGATTTGGCGGAGGAGACACTGGCTTCAGACGTGGCGGTTTAAGCCGTGGCACAGGACGAGGAGGCTTTGGAGGAAATTCAGGCTTCGGCGGTGCTTCCCGTAGTGACGAGCACGGATTTGGAGGGGGAAAACGTTTTGGAAATACCAATTTTGCAACAGAAGGAAATAATGAAGATTTTGGAGCTGGAAGTACTTCAGAATTTGGCAATTCTGGTTTTGGAAGTTCTGGCTTTGGATCGGGGGGCAATTCTGGATTTGGACGTGGTGCAAATGGAGAAGGTGAGTTGCAGGCTCCGTTGTCTTTCGCATTTTACCCATAAAAATACTACAGGTGCATGCTATAATTGCGGGAAAGAAGGGCACCAGTCACGCGATTGCACTCAGAATAAAAAAGCTCGGGGTCAGTTACAAAAGTTAATACTGTACATTACGCAGCTTTCATACTGCGCCATAAGAAAACATATTCAGCAGTCATCCAAAGTATCTTTTTAACCATCTTCTCTTTGCTTCTGCTAGTTCAATTTTGGTTATGGTTTGATGAGTAGATTTGGCTACTTTCTACATTTCCCTTTGCCTTCTATCATAGTTTTTTCTCTTTATTTCAGGTAAATGTTATAATTGCCAGAGTGAAGGGCATCAGTCTCGTGATTGTCCTGAGCCACGCAGAGCACGAGAGGAAGGTTTTAGAGGAGGTAGGCTGTTTTTCGCTCTTTTTTTAAAATGTCTTGGAACAGCTCCTTATAAGTGCTCACAAGGTCCTAAAAAATTTGAAGGTAATAGTTCAGGCGCGGGTGAAGCAAAGTTTGGCGATGCCCGCCGTAGAGGCTTGTTATTCTAAACATTGCCTCTCTCCTTGTACTTTGTGATAGATGTAATTCTAGGACGCGGATTTCAAGGTTCTGAGTCGAATTTTGGTAAAAATGGTTTTGGAAGCCGCAACAACTTTTCCGGATTTGGTGCCGGTGCCGATAATGGCTTTGATGGTGGAAGGAAGGGAAGCGGCTTCGACACAGGATTTGGTAGCGCGGCATCGAGTAGGTTTGGCGGAAGTGCCTCCACCGGCTTTGGTGACAGCAGAGACGGAGTTTTCTCCGGTGGTGGATTCGGTGATCGCGGCGGCTTTAGTGACGCCGAGAGAAGAGGTAGTTTCGGGGAGGTGTTTGTTGTTATCGAAACAATTTTTGTTGAAATGGTTTGAATCAAATGCATAAAGCATTCTGGTAATTGCTTCTTCCCCATTCTTAAGAAACTTGTGGGAGTAAATTGAGTGATACAGATCTCGAATAGCAATTTAAAAGAAGTAGCTAACTAGACCTTAAAGTATTTTGACTTTTAGATCGTAGATGTTTCAACTGCAAGCAAGAGGGACACCGTTCAAACGATTGCCCAATGCCAAAAAGTATGCTTATTTTCTCTGTGTTAAACTGCTCTGATTATAAAGTTCAGACCAGTCTTGCTTCAACTGTGGACAAACCGATCACCCTTCCCGTGAATGTCCTCACCCGCCGAATCATCAGGATCGTCTCATGGATGAACTGCAACGAAAACCTTTGTCGACGTATGTCCCAAAAGATGAAGACGTTGAGTTACTGTTCAAAGAACACATCGAGCAGGGCGAGTTGTTTACGAAATTGTTTGAAGCCGAAGTGACCCTTAATGAAGGTGGTCTGCATGGCAGAACTGAGAGGGGGAAGAAATTTACGTGAGTTTAGCGTAGTGCATTCAGGGAAATTTCTAATTTTGTTTTAAACTAAATTAATTATTTGTTTTAGTTCCTTCGAAGAGCTCGATTTACCA